GCCCGAAAATTCCTTCCCTGGAAACACCAAAATGGGGTCAGAAATGGGGAAATTGGGAAAAATGGGGAAAAATGGGAAAAAAATATGAAAAAAATGGGGGAAAAATGGGGGAAAATGGGGGAAAAATGGGGGAAAATGGGGCAAACGAAACCTTGATGGGATTGCCAGAAAATTCCTTCCCTGGAACACCAAAATGGGGTCAGAAATGGGGAAATGAGGAAAAATGGGAAAAAATGGGGTGGGGGAGGGGAAATGGGAAAAAAGGGAAAAAATGGGAAAAAAAATGGGGATTTTGGGGTGAAAAATGGGGAAAAAGAGGGAAAAAACGGGGGAAAAATGGGGGGAAAATGGGGGGAAAATGGGGGAAAACGAAAAAATGGGGGAAAATGGGGGAAAAGAAAAGGAAAAATGGGGGAAAAATGGGAATTTTGGGGTTAAAAAGGGTAATTCTGGGGATGGGAGAAGGTGAATTTTGGGGTTAAAAAGGGTGAATTTTGGGATAGGAAAAACAAGAATTTTGGGGTTCAAAAAGGCAATTTTGGGGATCAAAAGAGTGAATTTTAGGGTTGAAAAGGTGAATTTTGGAGTTAAAAAGAGGATTTTGGGGTTAAAGGTGATTTTGGGGTAAAAGAGGTAAACTTTGGGATTTGGAAAAGGTGAATTTTGGGGTTAAAAAGGATGATTTTGGGGATTAGGAAGAGGTGAATTTTGAAGCTAAAAAGGGTGAATTTGGGGGTTAAAAAGTGGGAATTTGGGGACAGGAAAACGGGAATTTTAGGGATGGGAAAAGGTGAATTTTGCTGTTAAAAATGAGAACTTTGGGATTTGGAAGAGGCGAATTTTGAGGACAGGAAGAGGTGAATTTTGGTGTTAAAAAGGTGAATTTTGGGGTTAAATACGGGAATTCTGGGCTTAAAATGCAGAATTTGGGGATAGGAAAATGGGGATTTAAAGGATGGGAAAAGGGGAATTTTGGAACAGGAAAAAGGGTAATTTTGGGGATAAAAAGAGTAATTTTAAGGTTTAAAAGGGTGAATTTTGGGGTGAAAATTGATGATTTAGTGACTGACCATCGAACCAGTCGATGGCCGCTTTGGCCGAGGGGGGGTCATCGAAGGACACGGTGGCCTCGCCCTTCAGCTTGCCGGTCTCGCGGTCGGTGTAGAGATTGATCATGGGCTGGCCGGTCTTCTTGTTGGTCTGGGGGGAAAAATGACCAGTGAGTGACCACTGAGTGACCAGTGTGGCTACTGAGTGACCAGTGACTGACCAGTGTGGCTACCAACCCCCCACTGTGACCACCAACCCCCCACAATGATCACAGAGTGACCACTGACCCCCATTGATCATGGGCTGGCCGGTCTTCTTGTTGGTCTGGGGAGAAAAGAGTGACCAGTGAGTGACCACTGAGTGACCAGTGTGGCTACCAACCCCCCACAGTGACCACCAACCCCCCACAGTGACCACTGAGTGACCACTGACCCATGGGAACCAACCCCCATTGATCATGGGCTGGCCAGTCTGAGTGTTGGTCTGGAATGACCAGAGTGACCACTGAGTGACCAGTGTGGCTACCAACCCCCCCAAAGTGACCACTGACCCAAATATCCAACCCCCATTGATCATGGGCTGGCCGGTCTTCTTATTGGTCTGGGGGGAAAAGAGTGACCAGTGAGTGACCAGTGTGGCTACTGAGTGACCAGTGTGGCTACCAACCCCCCACAGTGACCACTGAGTGACCAGTGAGTGACCAATGAGTGACCACTGAGTGACCACTGAGTGACCAGTGTGGCTACCAACCCCCCACAGTGACCACTGACCCATGGGAACCAACCCCCATTGATCATGGGCTGGCCGGTCTTCTTATTGGTCTGGGGGGAATAGAGTGACCAGTGAGTGACCAGTGTGGCTACTGAGTGACCAGTGTGGCTACCAACCCCCCACAGTGACCACTGACCCCCATTGATCATGGGCTGACCCGTCTTCTTGTTGGTCTGGGGGTCAGAGTGACCAGTGAGTGACCAGTGTGGCTACCAACCCCCCCAGAGTGACCACCAACCCCCCACAGTGACCACTGACCCAAATATCCAACCCCCATTGATCATGGGCTGGCCGGTCTTCTTGTTGGTCTGGGGGTCAGAGTGACCAGTGAGTGA